AAAGAATCAAAATTACATAATTAAAATTCTAATTTTAATTTCAAATTAAATTTCAAATAAAAACTGTCAATTCCAGTTGTATCATACTTTTCCCAAAATGAGCAGCTTCGAACCTTGGGAACTTTCAATCTGACCTAATACAATCACAGAAGCAAAACCAATTAATAAGTATCCATTAATAATTTGCACTAAAACCGACTCGTAGTCTGAAAATGGCGTCAGTGGTATGAATTCCCGACAGAGTGTTCCAAGACAGATCAAGCATGCTTAAACTGGAAGCCGCGGAGAGTGACATAGTCTTAATAGGCAGCCTCATGAACTGATTGTGTGACAAATCCAAGCTCTCTATATTCGCATCGAAGAACATGTTATCCGGTAGTGTTCTCAATTTGTTATGCGACAGATCAACGATCCTCAGCATCTTCAGCGGCCTGAGCGCTTCCGCTGGAATGTCCATGATGTTGTTGTAAGAGAGAAACAGGACTTGGATGTTCTTCGTGTTTCTGAAGCAGTCGAAGTCGATCTCCATCAGCTCGTTGTGACTTAGATCGAGCCATTGCAAATGCGGCATATTCCCGAAGACACCCTGAGTAACGTTGCTCAGCTGGTTGTGTGACAGGTAGAGATGTGTCAACGAATACTCGACTGGCTTGAAATAGAACTTCATTATGTCAGAGATATTGTTGTAGCTCAGGTCGAGGACTCTGATGTTCGATTGGATTGCACCTCCCACTGCAATGCGGTGGAAAAGGGAATTAGAGAAACGGTTAACCCTCTAAGTTTGTTAAAAAAGATTTAGCCGCTGAACTGCTTTTCTGCACATATACAGGGTGTCTCGTTTAGAAAGGGAGAAACGTCTGAATTATTTCTTCGCTGCTATTCAAAGTAGAAAAAAATCTTTGTTAGATCATTTTGGAGGTTTTTTTTTGGAATTAATTTTGTTTTTTTTTTGTAATGTGATGTTGTATTAGATGTTAAGATGAGTTCAATGACCTGTGATATTCTGGTCTTGAGTAGAAGAAAATGTATTTAAATTGGAACAATGTTAACCCCTTTTTTACTTCTCACTTTTGCAGTGAAACTTTCGAAAATTCGAAATTTTCTTATGAAAAGAAAAAAATTCGAAATTTTTATGAAACTGTTTGCTTCAATTTCTTCTGGTGATTCACTTTGTTTTAATATAAATTAGTCTTGAATGAAGTTATGTGATATACTACGAATGTGACCATACTAAATTTGTTATAAGTGGGACACTCTGTGAAAAGCTGTGTTCGAATCAGAACAATGTTAAAATAGTGAAATAATGAAAATGTATTCTTTAATATAGTAGACACCCGGTATATTGAATAGTATCACAATTTTTAAAAGAATTTTGCAAGGAACTTACTGGCGGTCGGTGGCGTAAACGTGGTGCTGTTGATCCACAATTTCGGGATTTGATTATGGCTGGCATTCACTTTGAACGACGATAACGTGCCCACTTGATCGAACGAGGCGAAATCGAACTCAGCCAGATCGTTGTACGCGAGATCGAGAAACTCCAAATCCGGCAGATTCTTGACAGAGAATAATTATGATTTACAAAGTAATTCTATAAAATTTAGAAAGAATCTATTGGATGATCCAATATGAAAAATATAGACATAACGTAGAAAGAAATTATGGAACGAGAAGACGATCACGTTTCTTCGTCAAATTTCAAATTACCTTTGAAATTTTCATCTTTCGAAAAAAAATTCTGCACGAATCTACCGGGTGACCTACTATTACCAACAAGTATTTCTAAGATAATTCTTGAGGTATTACTTGGAAAGCTTCATCCGTGATGTCCTTTATCTTATTTCCACGCAGGTTGATATACTTGAGGAGCTTCATGTTCATAAAAGCTCGCCTCTCGATTCTATCTATAGCGTTGTCCTCTAAATTTATCATCGTTACTTTCGGCAGGTCGACGAACGTGTGAGTTTGGATCGTTTTGATCTTGTTGAACGCGAAATTCACCTCCTCCAAGGTCGAATGTATGTCACCCTGTATTAAACATCGTTCGATCGATCACAGAAGTCTTCGATCAAAAAAAAAAAAAAAAAATCCTAGATCATACCTGAAACGTTCCTTTCCTGATATTATCGATCTCGTTATCTTGCAGCTCGATACGTTTGATTCTCTTGAGAAAGTGAAAAGACGTGTCTGGTAGTGATTTAATTTTATTGTTACTGAAGTCGAGATGTTGTAGATTCGTTAGAAACTTGAATGGACCGGTTGGTATTTCAGAAATGGAGGTAGACAGGCCGTGAGACATTCTTAATGTTAAAAGTGAATGGCCAACCTGAAAGAAATTTGTTTTTTCGGTTAGATAGGTGTTGCGAGCGTTCGACCTCGTTCGGTTCAGAACTCGCTGTGGTTCTGCCTTGACTTAACTATTCTGAACCTCGTTGAGAAGGTATATAGAGACTGTTCTTTTTTGACGCTTAGTTGAGCTTTATTCGTGATCTGATCTTGCGGGCGAGGGTGAGCTCGCTCTTTATACATTTTTCTGAGGTGGAAATTCAGCAATCAGGGTGCCTAAATGGTGGCGACAACCCTCTTCTTGCGCCCGCAGCGCGTTTCTTCGGAGAAGGGGATGCCTGTGAGCTGCTTTCGGGGGACCGAAAGCGGTACCGTTTTATGACCAGAGAAAGGTACCGCGGGCGCGAACAATGAGGTTCGCGCGGCGCATGGTAGACCAAGGGTGGTCTGATCGGCCGAAGTGAGGTTCGGCCAAAGATGACTAATGATTTTTATGTCTATAATCCGCCAGACCGAGGCGAGCTCACGTGAATTTGCGCGCGACGCAACAATAGGGTAGGTGTAGAATTTAAAATATTTAAATAAATTGTACAGTAGTAGATGATGAAGTTTTAGAAGGAAATGTATAGGTGTGTAAACAGGTTTGATTGTGAATAGGTCAATTACTCGATGTATGGGTTTGATTCTTTATCGAAGCTTGTTTTATTGGAATTATTTACGGCTATCAAGGTCTCTGACTCGGGAATACGGTTTGGATCTAGTTTAATTAAATATTAGGCTAAATTACTGATTCTCGTGGATCGAACGTATTACGATTTTGTAGGGTTGCTCGGTTAATAACCTAATCGGTGGACGTCGAAAAGCTAATGAGTCCTTATGTCTCTATTTTTAGAACGAGCCGGTGTAATAGGGATTGGTTGAAATGTCGCGAAATTGGATGAAAAGGATTGTTACGTAAATTCTAAAATTACAGAGCGAAAGAATTTCTTTTAAAAATGTCCCAAACTCTTAAAATCGTAAAGTAATCAATTTTTATACACTGTCCCGAATCACTCCTGATCAGCAGATACCCTCCTCTCTTCACAAATATTAAGCTGGAAATATTTGAAGCTTCCGGGTGTAAGCCGTGTCCAAAAGAATTTGCATTCCGACGTTTCGCCAGCATTGCAGCTAGCTTCGTCAGGGTCTACCGATAATAGTGTACGTCTGGGTGTTCACTCCTTTAAGTACCTGTGGGTGACGGGAGAATAAACGTACGCGTGCTTCGCGCTTGAAACCTTTTATTCAGAAAAATCAGTGCGACCTTCGGCGGTTGACTCCCTTGGCGTCGTCGGTCGGGACCCTGGCTGCCCTCGGAACGGATCTCAATTGTCTCCCCGCTTTCCGAGGACAGCCATCCTTATCGGCCCGCCGCGACATCGACAGCGACGAAAGGCACGTTCGTTGCGTGCCTCTCGCATTCTCGATGGTGTTTACAATGTGGCGCCGTGCGCGCTGCATGGGCCGCCACATACCTATGTTCATTTTTACGGGTCAGTGATTTTGACCAATCAGTGTTTAATTGACCGACCAATCAAACACCGATTTTCAATTGATCGAGCAATTTGTAAGCACAACTTAAACGAATTTAACACAGGATAGGGTGGTATCCAAAAATGTATTAAACTATAGTTCTAAGCGACTGCTAAGTGCTCCGATGTCCGTCTCGCTCGACGGCTATTTCCAGAGTGTCCTTTCCGCGTCGTATTCCGCGTTGCTCCGAAAAACCGTCGGTGCCCCCTCGTTCGACTTTCCGGGGAAAGGGCTTAGTTTATGGCACCCTCAGGTACCCTCGCTCTTTCTCTTCCTGGGTGATAAAGTCCAGGCCACCACTTCGCCGCCGGAATCTCGCATTTCTTACAAATTAAACACCGATTGTTGACGAGATACGATTATTGAACGATTATTTTCTTTAAGATACAGATGTCAAACGTGTCAATTTATCATTTTTGAGTCGAGTCTCATTTTACGGAGCGCAAGAACGTAAACAGAGCGATTAGCTGGAATTTGCGTTCTATGTTACCAGAAGAGGAGACAAATTCTCGAACGCTAGGAAAAGACCAACATATTGTCCCAATTGTCCAAAATCACCAGAAATGTGTTCGAACTGTTTTAACGAATACCATGCTACGTAGTGTAATGTATTTTATTTTAAATATAAATTAATGTACAGTATAATATAGTGTGATGTTCCATTAAATTCTAGTGTTATATGGATTTTTATAAATTACTTGTGAAATCCTATTTAACTTGACGAAGAAGAACGTGGCGATGAACGTGTTAAAGGAGTAAACATCCAGACGTACGCTGTTATCAGTACGTCACTAGAGCTAGCTGCAATGCTGGCGGAACGTCGGAATGTAAATTCATTTGGACACAGCTTACACCCGGAAGCTTCAAATATTTCCACTCATATCAATCCGGGCCGTGAAAGTCTCAAAACTCTCAAATGTTAAGCAAACAAATATTAGTTACAAAGCAAACCTAAACGGTCATTACAAGACTCTTAAAATTCTCAAAAAAATTATTCACAAATTTAAAAAATCTATTCAAGTCATCCTACAGTGCACAAAAAATAACGAAACATTGTCCTCTTCCATTTCTCTCACAAATCTACCATTCCTGAGAAAAACGCTCCGGAAATTAACAGCGTAAACACCCCCCACATTTTTTTTTTTTTAAATGTAATATAAATCACGCAATACTTTCCCCACGAACCCTATAGACGTCCTAATACTTACAAACGACGGTGTATATACCCTATATCTCGCGAAAATTCGATAAATTCAATCTACCCCGAATTTGTCGCGAAACAATCGACCGGAATAAAATCAGCCTAAAGACATCGAGCCGTTTGAGAAAGAAAAATCCACGTGTCAAGATGAAATTACCTCGGAGAAAGCCTCGTCCTCTATCGACGATATCGAATTCTCGGAGAAGTCCAGGTACTTGATCCCGCGGACGTGCATGAAAGCGTGACCCTTGATGGTATTCAGGTTGCTTTTCACGATACGAAGCTCTTTGATGTCCATCCCGTACTCCATGAAATCGTCGGTGGACAAAGTGGACTGCGGCATTCGCGAGATCGAAAGGAATCGCATGTTTCTCATCTGACGGAGATCCTGCAGATTTATCACGCTGTTTTCCTTGCCGCTCAGATCCAGATTGTACAGAGAATATTGGAAGCCGTTGAACACTTCGGCTGATAACGGTAGGAAAATCGTGTGTCTCAGTTGTTGTTTAAAAATGTAGGACAGGATTTAAGTTGAAGAAAGGTAATAGAAGAAAGCGAGATACGCAGATACGTGAAAATTAAAAAAAAAAAAAAAGAGAGAGAGAGAGAAGAAATTGCGGTTTTCTCATTCGGTTTACCATATCGATAACTTACCGAGTGTAAAATTAGTAACATTTAGATCTAAATAGTGAAAGAAACATAAAGAGAAAATAGTTAAACAAGGGCAACAATAATAATAGACGGAGAAAATGAGGATAATGAATCTGATGCGTTTTTTTTTTTTTATTCCATTCTTTAGACAGATGATACGCTTTGAACAGAAATATACGTTGGATTACGTTAGATAGAAAAATAAAAATGCAGAGAGAAAGCAAAGTATCGAAGTAACAAACTGATATGGAAAGAAAAAAAGATTGTCGTTGAGAAATGATAAGATCGGTAGTCGTCGATGAAATTGAGATTATTATCAGATAGGATATGTTAGTTTACCTGGTGAGAATGTCTGGATCTTGTTTTCACGGAAGATCAGAGTGCGCAGAAAATCGTACTCCTGGAAGATAGGGCTTGGAAGCATGGTGATGTTATTCCCTGAAAGATCCAACAATTCGAGGGATGTTTCCAGACCAGCGAAATCTGGGGAACCGACTTCCATCAGATGGCAATCGCTGAAATAAAGCTCTCGTATTCGCGAGTCCCTGAATGTACCCTCCTGGAAATCGAGATCGAAGACATTTTTAAAATTAAAATAAAGCAGAAAGATAAAAATGTTAATTAAATATAAAATAATGAAATCTTTTGAAGTGTACCTTAAATTATAAACGCACACACAAAGCAAAGATAAGATAAAGATTATAAACACATAGCAAAGATTCTACCTTGGAAATTTTTTGTAATATTAAGTTAAATTTGAAGAAGTTTTTTAAAATATACCTTAAATTATAAACAC